TGGATACTACATACACAGATGGGAGGAATTCTTAAATTTTCGTCTTCTTGGGGCGAAGTGACATTGGCAATCTCAAATCTTTTGTCTTATCTAATAGTTTCTCTAGCGCTGCAAATCTGTTTCCCACTAGTATCTTATAGTAAGTTGATTCTGAAGTGTCTGGTTTCTTACTTGGGGGAAGGTCTATTTCTCCTGAGTTATGTTTTTTTAGCTTTTTAATATTTTTTAAATTTAATTTCTTTTGGATAGGACAACAGGAAGATCAGTGTTTAATACTCTCTACACTAGTTCTAGTTGCTTATAAATACTTACAATAATCTTACTAATAATCTTAAAATTCAACTGACTACATTACTTCTAGGGAAGTAGAGGTTTCTTTTTTTATATCTCTTCTTTGGTTCGAGATATGAGAGTTTATTTAGGAATGTATGGAAAGGAAATTTATTCTTGAGGCAGGTTATGTGAATTGGATTTTGGCAGAGAGTTAGCGGGGTTAGTTTGGATATATTCGGGATGTTCTGGAAGAAGTGAGTGGATACATAAATTGTATGGCTGGTTATCGGTTCTAGGTGGAATTGTTTATGGACTTGAGCGTTGGAAATGAACCATGGGGCAATAGTGACGCAAAGGATGTGTAATGGTAAATACACCTACGTAAATATGAAGTATTTCGTAAGAGAAGCAATGAATATTTCTTTCAAACATGTACGTGAGAGAAATATCACCTTTCAAAGATATCTAATTTAGGGTGGCGTCTGGAGCAGGCGCCCTGCTTATCTTAAGGTCATGGGTGATAGGGCTCCCCAAACCGCCGTCAACGCTATCATGATCCAGGCAGTGGAAACGGGGTTGTTTGGGAACTTATGAGACAGAGTTTTCAAAAGGGCAAATGTCCTCCGACAGTAATGTCAGTTTATTGCGTCCAGGACATGCCGAGTTCAGGCGGGGTGGCATAATGGCCTCATAAATCTCCCTGTTTTCCCATATAAGGATCCTCTAGCGTTGATAACGGGCAGACAGCCCAGGGACTTTGCAGTGTGAACTTAGTGCTGCTCTGCAGCTCTACTTTTTCAATTTAACTTTTCATACTTCATCGGACTTGGTCTCTGTACTTGAAACCTCGCTCACCACCATGCTCCTCCAAGGAACGTGAGCTTCCTGTGAACTCTAACAGTTTTTTGTTACTGGAAGCATTTGTTAAGTGGCCTGCACATCGCTTTCAGTAAGCGACACACCTGCAGCGGAAAGGCATTACCAGATGTGGACTATTGTATTTGAGCTTTATATATATATATATATATAGTATATATATATATAATATATATATATATATAAATATATATATATATATATATAGAGAGAGAGAGAGAGAGAGAGAGAGAGAGGAGATTAAATAGATAGATAGATATAGTTATATTAGATATAGCTGCGCTGATCCAAAATGGGTATGCATATAATAGTAGTGGTCATATAATAGTTTTATACAGCAATAAAGCAGTATACAATGATAGTTTATTTGTTATATTTATTATTGTTTTTAGTTGGTGTAGTTTTATTTTTGCTTGTGTAATTTTATTGCCGATATGGTTTTTCCATATGACTCGGATGTCTAAGAAAACGCCTAGATATTTTATGGGTTTATTACACGTAATAGTGGTAGCTAATCACGTAGAAGATGATGCAACCATAAATAAAAAAAGATGAATTTGCAATTTCATTGTTTTCATTTCAATTATTAATTAAATTCTAAAGTAGTAATTGAAATTTTCGAGCAATGGGAGTTCAGACAACTTTGTAAATTTTCTGGAAGTTACTTACATAACATTTCATTCCTCTTGAAGTGCTGCTTGTTTATCAGGATCTAATATGTGTTATTTAGGTTGAAATGGGCATTACATCTCACAAACATCCACAACCGCAAACCAAAATTATTGATTAGAATATCAGATCAAAGAAAAGAAAGAGAGCAGGTCGCCGAAGGAAATCGATTTATGGGCTTTCCCATGCACAGTCCGCCTCCGAACGACGTGCCTAAATATTTGATCAATGAAAAACGTTTGAGTATTTTGAATGTTGAGCGTTAAAATTCCATTCCATTGAAAAACATAATTAATTCGTAGCACAAATAGAAATTAGCAGGTTAATTGTATGTTTTGTATTTCACTCCTACTCGAATAATATTCTTGAAAATATAAAAGGGAATGTTGATGTTTTATATTGATTGTAATGATGTTGATTCATGTGGCTTGCCTTTGGTGTTGGATAAAGATCCATACATTAAGTAATGCTGAGAGGAGAGGGGGTCAGAGGCAGCATTACGCTGCGTTACATTGACGTAGGCCATTTAGTTAAAGGTTACGTAAAATTGATAATTTAATTTTTTACATTTTTCAACATTTGCTGAAATACTTCCTTATTTGAGGCCTGAAAGTGAAACTTAGAGGTTGGACAACATTACCACATTAAGCGTCTCAAATACCATGCCCACAGCGTTCACAAATACATTCTAGCGGGGACCAGTAAAGAAAATAACGTGAATTAAAAGAGTCGCACCTCAACCTCAACGGGTTGGTAAGTATTGACTATGAAACACCGATACGTCATATGTGATGATTATGTATAAATCGATCTTCACAACTGGAAGACACGTAACCATAGGTTTATGGGAGAGAGAGAGGGAGAGGGGGAGAGATATGATCTTTTTTTCAGTGTGTGAATTGTAATCATGAACTTCCGAATTTTAGACCAAGCAATTAATACAAATAATTGGCATCCGCTTATTGACAACCACTTACTGAAGCAGACTGATCGTAAGTAAAGTAATTGCTTGAAAATGACATTTTCATGACTATTATTCTATTTGAATTGACGGGATATGCTACTTGCGCCATCGTAAGTAGTTCTCCAAGGGGTGTCCAATCAGAGCGTAGTGCGGCGCAAAGATTTCTCCATTGTTTACATCAGGTTTTTTTCTTAAGATGAACGAACGGATAGTAGATGGGAACCTAATAATTTGTTTTTGGATAAGAAGATACTCAAAACGCCTTTTTTCTTCCCTCTCATCAGGAACAACGACGTACTACGGCTCGTACATTGCTCCTGAGTGCGTATTGTCTACAATGGTTGGAGATTGACACTTATTTACACACCCTTCTTTGCTCAACGGTCGACTATTTCAGTGATAGCAAATCCTGTTATTCAAAGAACATCATTGGAAAAAATAAAACAAATAATTAAGAATGTTGCTACCCAAGTTTTGTAAGCGCTGCAAAAGTTCCCCTTTCTCACATAGTTTAATTTACCAGTATATTACTATTATGTTTTGAACACAAGTATTTCGTGTAAGATTAATTTCGAACTAATTGTTAATGGAGCCGGAAAATTTTCTCATATTTGTTCCCGATTACTTATTGTATAGTATATTTTTTAGCATAAAAACATGTGTTTACCGAGTCAAAAACATCGATAAAATAAAATTTAAAAAAAACATGACAATTGTGAAAAAAATTACGTAATGATAACGTATTATATAAGATACGAAAAAAACGAACAAAAAATGCTTGCATATAAAATGTAAGTAACAACGTCATTAAATTATTTTTTGTAAATCTTTAAAATAAAATTTATAATAATTGGGATAATAGTTTTGTCTAAAGTTGACAGCAATGAACAAATAGAATATGGGTCATATTTATTAAATTTGCGCAATCTCAAAATCATTTCTTTCCTTTCAATTTAAAAAAAATGCATTGCCAAAAGACATGCTCAATAGATTTTGATCCTTTACCACATTCACAAATTTTACCAGTAACAATAGATGTGTATATAAACTGCTGTTATAAGATGGCTGCTTCTAATACGATTAATGGTGACAACGGCTTTGCGTGGAATATCAAACACGTAAAACCAATGTTTCTTATAATTATTAAAAATAATTAAAATAATGTTTTCCTTTAAGTTTATGATAATATTATGATCATTATATTTATGATAATAATAAATTAATTGTATTAATTTCAACGTATTTTCTTCATTACATATGGATTTACATTTCCAAATTAAATGAGATTAAGGAACATTAATATTAAGAAGGTTGCCAATTCTCGCAGCCTCTGTTGTCTTCATGTCAGCACTTTCATTGCCTATGAAACCTTTTGTGAAGGAATCCAAATAAATGTAATTTTTGCCCAAATTTGTAGACATAATTTTGACTTTAAATTGAGCAATAAGAGGGATTCCCGTCCAAAACCACCACCACCATCCAATGACTTCAGAATGCTTTGCGAATCAGTAAAGATATTGAAGTTAAGATCATCATTTTGATTTAATATATCAATAGTGTAAATAATTGCTAGAGACTCAGCTGAAAAAAACATAAGCAAGATAAGGAATTTTAAAGGATTTATTATATAATTCATTATCACTAGAAATAGCAAAACCGACACTTAAAACATAGTCTTCAATTATTTTGGAGCCATCTGTAAAAATATATTCTTTATCTTTATTAAATAATTCATTACATTTTTGTACTAGACTAGTGGATTCTAAAATTGCTGTACCTGAAAGTAGATCAATAACGGCCTTAAAGAACGTATGTGTAAAGGAATGTATACTTAAAACTATTTTCAGATTGAAAAACTAAATCACTATGAAACCACAAGTTTTAAAAACACTTTTCAAAAGGGATTTTTCAAAGTTGTTTTCATGTATAAAATGTTTTGCAAGATTAATTGGCTGTTATTTCACCAAAACAAGGTTTTTTTTTAAGTACGAGATTTCAAAATATATTTATAACCAAGAAACGTAAATGTAATGTCAAGGAAAGGTATTTTAGATTCCACCAGAATAATTTTATGGGAGTGCTCCTTCTAAATACCATAGCTATTCTCAAATATCTATTTTGAATTTCCTATATTCCCGATGACTTAGCGCCGAACATCCCAGAGCGCCCTTAGCTGGCGAAGAGAAGTAACAGCGAGTAACAGTTTGTTTGTTTCCAGGCGCTCCTGGAGGCCAATGTCCGAACTTCGTAGCGTTCACGGCGCCCGATGGCTGCAGCACCTGTCTCTGCGTTGTGGATGGTCGCATGACGTTCTGCTCGCGCAACGCCTGCCCGGAGCCTGGTACGGAACACCCGCACCTCTATTACCTAACTGTCTTTTCACTTTGAACTGTCGCTTAGAAGGAGTGGCGAGTTAAATTGATGTCATGCTTCTTATAAAATAACTTCAATTGAAATCATAGACATTCACAGGCTAAAACATGAGGAGAGACACCGTCATTTCTGGGCCCCCTATCCATTAAACTTTTTCATTTCAAATGACATATTTTACTAGTAAAATCAATCTATCATAAAATATGCAGTATGCAATTATCATTTCAATTATACAATTAATTGTAGTCTAATGCTGCTTAACATACGGGCTTAAGAAGCTTTTCCCCCGAATATCATACGATATACAAAATCCTGACTCTGTGGTTAAAAAAAGAACAAGAGGTGGTCCCCGGTCCCCTTCAGCCTCCCTGGGTGCACGCCTATGTTTGAAATAAAAAATACAACAAGAATTTTCATTCATAATGGAGGCCGAATTTAGGTGCTGCGGGGCCCCCAAATCATATGGGACTCTTTTTCGAAAAAAGAAATGCCTCCAGACTCACTAAAAACACTAATTTGAATAACTTTTTACACTAATACCAATGTAAAATTAATAAACGGCTTCTATTAGTCTGCAAGTCTATACTTGGGTGATTAATATTGTAGTATGTGTTTTTAATATTGGACTACCAATTTCAGTACAGTGCACTATTTGATTAACAGTTATGTTAGAGATTCAGACATATTTCACGAGTTTTTAAAATATTTTGTGAGATCCCTCCCCCCATGAACCTAAGTAACAAGGTATTTTGCTTGCAGGTAAATTATGCTCTGTTCATGATCCTGAATAAAACAAAGTCTAACTCAAATTAATGGTGCTACTTTCTTGCGTTATTAAACGTTTGGGTAATATTATAATATTGAAATTTCTGCTCGACTAACACTTCAGCCATCACTTGTAAATATACAAACCAATACAAATTATTTAAATTTAAAAGCGAATTATTTCCACAGCCAGGAACAGTGATAATTGTTTACTTAAAAGGAACAAACGTGAATAAATCACAACTGTCATAGCATTTAGAGCTCATTGTTCAAAATAACTAGAATAATTTCCCACACAAGCTTACCTGAATCAGTACATCAAAGTGAGTGTCCAATTTTTGAGTAGTTATATCACAATCAGCGAGAAAACATTTTTAAAGCAAAAGAAACGCACAAGTTCCAGAGCTGAAGGTAATTCAATATATCTTGAGCTGATGACTGATCTGAAGGCTTATGAATGCATAAAAATAAGGTTACAAATCTATCGTCTTTTATCATTTAAATATTATATCTGGGACACAGTAGAAACGTTTGTACAAAATTATTTGCTTGAAACGAATACAATTCAGAGAGATTCATTATCGTCCAACAACGAGAATTCTCTAAATTTGGAATTGCCATGTCTCGGCATTCTATTGCGGTTTGACATCTCGTGACACACTGGATTTCAAAAAAATGGCAAATTCGAATTTGTTATTTCAAACATTAACAACTTTACGCAAAACTACAACTTTACAAATGTACTTGACCTAATTAAAAGATCTAATTTTGAAGTATAGAATTCATTGAGTAAAATATCTGTCATCAATATTATAGTTTTGCAATGTTAATATTTTACATTTTTTTCGAAAATACAGAGAGTACATCCAAAAATACCCTGCGTCATTTCGTAAGCGTAATTTGCTGTCCTCGAGAAAACAAAGAAAAGATTGCAACCGCTTTAGAGAAAATAGTTTTAAAATTACTTTTACTTGAAGCAAAATTTACCAAAATATTGGACATGATTTTATTTATTGGTCTCACATTTTAGAAACAAAGTCACACCTCGATAACCTGAATGTCAATAACTCGAATTTTTGAAAAGTCTAAGCAATTTTCCGTTCCGGGTCATGTTATACGTATTTTACGAGTAAAACTATTTCAGTAACCCGAAATGTGATACCAGAAATTTCTCGATAACTAGAAAGAATATCTTCTTCCCCTGAGTTAAAAATCATACTTTTAACTCGATTAAACTTACGAAGTTTGTTTTCACATCTCGAAATCCAGACCCTCCGAGCCATTTTTCATGGAACACTAAAAACACTCTTGCTGTCTGCTCTGAATACATGGACAAGCGAATTTTGTATTCCTCCTAAGGCCGGCTCAGCAGCCCCGCACAGTCATTCAAACTAGCTCTTTGAGAAGCAGAATATTTTGTTAAAAACTAATGTAACGAAGCTCGGAGATCGACAAACGTGTGCTCAAATCATTAACTTTAAATGAAAAGCATGAAAAAATTTGTGATGGAGAAAGGGGTTGAGAAAAAAAATATATTGCAGATGAATTCGGTTTTGCTACATGTACGCTGTCATCGGTTTTAAAAGACAAAAGTAAAATTCGTCATGCAGTGCAGGAATGACGTTTTGTGAACCTCAAAGAAAAATAATGAATGTTTAAGTTACCCGCAGCTCAATGAATCATTGCTACAGTGGGTGAAGTGTGCTAGGGATATGAACTTTCCAATTCAGGATTCATTAATTAAGGAAAAGTCAGAAACATATGCTCAAGAATTAGGAATTAAGTCTTTTCAAGCTAGTACAGGTTGCCTGGAAAACTTCAAACACTGGAATTAAATTGTGAGAAGATTTTAACGGACAAGAGTGCAAGTGTATGCAACTGTGAAATCTATCAACGGAATAAACTACCTGGATTGCTAAAAATCATCGAGCCAGGTGTGTTTAATGCCGATGAAACTGGACTATTTTTCAAATGCTTACCTGAGAAAACCATTGACGTTTAATGATGAAAATGTCAAGATGATAAAATAAATAAGATATGATAACTGATGGTTTCAGGATAGTAACATGACAGGAACTGAAAACTTGCAGCTTTTAGTGATCGGTAATTCGGCAAAGCCTAGATGCTTTTCAGGAGTGCAATACCTGCCTGTAGAATACAAAAATAAAAATCGTTGATGACAATTTCTATTTTTGAATCTTGGCTAAGGGATATGGACAAAAAATTCCAGAGAGAGACAGAGATATTAGGTAAATCATTATTTTGGCCAACAATTGTCCTGCCCACCTCAAATACACTGAGAACTAAAAAGCAGTTAGACTTATACACTTTCCATAAATATGACCTTAAAACTGCAGCTAATGGATTAGGGTGCCATTAAAAACTTGAAGGATTTCTACAGGAAAATATGTCTCCAAAGTGTACTGATACGTTTTAAATCATACAACCAGGTAACTGATTTAAATTTACTTGACGCTATTGTGTTGCTGCTAAAATCATGGTCAGATGTAAAACCAGAAACAATCGCAAACTGTTTCGAAAAGCCGGATTCTATCAACTTGACTGCATGAGGAAAAGCAGGAAGCATTTTTGTCCCTGACGAGTGGCAAGAATGTACAAATTTGGTGTCATGCAAAGACGATTACGACATTATAAATAATGTCGGTACAGACCTCGTAGTATCGTCGTATAACGAAAGATCGTGATGCATCGTATGTTATTTTCCGGAAAACTAAATGCAAACTACTTAAAAAAACTACAAAATGCTCAGAAATTTAGTTACGCAGAAATGTCGCTACGGTAAAAAAATTATTACCACACCACCTTCGCAGAAACCGTGACTTGAGAGCGATTTGGAAAAATCTAAGTATATGTAAAGGTCCTCCCCAATTTGAAACGAATATTCCCTTTGAATCACTAAATCATAGTGTCATAAATAACGTTCTTTCACTTGACAGTAACTTGAAAAGGCAATCTCTTGCGCTTCTTAAAAAATGCGGTTTAAAAATACTGTTATTAGCTTATAGTGTATTAAATTATTTTATATTTATGTAAAGTGCTAATGTAAACCAAACGTAGCTTTCTGTAACGTTCCTCGAATGATTTCATTTTTCCGTCTAGTTCTTTTTCATCCTTTTCTTCGTTTTTTCTCTCTTCCCTCTTCCTCACAAATTTCATTTTTACTTTATGACCCCTTCCTCTGTACGTATGTTCTATTTTCTTTCACTAAACTTTTCTTTGACTACTATGTGTAACATACTCCGTTGTATTAATGTTCGGTCCTAAGCCGCCATCCTGATTGAGGCTTTTCTGGGTTTATTCAATCGCTTAAGGCGTATGCCGGGATGGTCCCTAGTTTTGTACTCCCAGGCGTAAATGTACTTGTTCTCCCATCTTAAAATGTTACTACACTGTATGTCTGTAAATTCAGTGGTTAGACGGAATACCAGGCCCTTTAGTCTGAGCCTCGCCATTAATAAAGGTTTCATCATCACCATCATCATCATCATTATTATTACTACTACTATTATTATTGTTGTTATTAATATTAGTATTATAGTACAGACAAAGGAATTTTAGGTTCCATGATTGTAGCAGAACAAGAGGACTCGACAGAGGAAGATAAAAAAGGAGAGGCGCATAATTCTAAATCCGCTTCTGTCCAACTTAATTAAAATTTTAAAAATAACTTTAAATGATCTTTGTTTTGTTTCGAAGTTCTTTAAGCTGAGTATAAAATCTTATTTTGTAACTAATGAACATCAATTGTATGATTAAACAATAATATTTAACCGTGTCTATTCAAAAAACTTCATAGTTGATACAGAAATATTTTGATATCTCGAATTTTTGATAAACCGAGCAAATATTTAACTCCAGAGAAATTTCGACATATTTGAAGGTAGTCTGTATTTTAGTAAACAATCTCTTTCATTTTTTTGTAATTTGGTGTTGTTAATTTTTTGCAATATTCGAAGAAAAAAAAAAGAATTTCCCGTTAATATTACCTGTGTTGTCTAGTACCTGTAATTTATTCTATTCCAAAATAAAAAAAAACAACAATTTAGTCTCTTTTGAAATTAAAAAAAGTGCCTATATTTCCCGCTAAATAACCAGAATATTATTCATATTATTGAAAAATTGTACTTGATCTTATTTACAGAACAGTATTTGACCAATTAAGAAGTCCTATTTTCAATATTG